AGAGAAATAAGTATCATATATTTTGTTCAGTTTTATGATCGTTTATGATGGCAGGCCAGTTTGGTATCAGTTGGTCTTTCCTGACTCAAATAGGAAGGTTTTTTATTTCCCCCTTGAGTTCTATTTCTAAGCCAGTTAAACTTTTTTATTGTAATTATGTAATTTATTTAAATATTACACAAAATGATGGAATATATGTACATAATAGAATCAGAATTTGTGCAGTCTAAGTTGAAAGCTTTCCAAATACTTGATAAAACTGATTTGCTAACAGTATGTTGCAATTTAGGAGAAAAAATGGACAACTTAAAATCTCAGGGAGTTTTATAAAAATAAGAAATGATGTTGCATTCAGACTGTTCTGAAAGTATCTTCAAGTTTGTCCCTCACTTGGAATAAATTAGTTTTGGACCTCATAGATCATTCAGAGTATGTTGTTTTTATAAGAATGGTGGCATTAATCCCAAACAGTAGTAGATCCATACTCAGAGATAAGGCCTGGCTTACCCCTACATCAGGAGAGTGGAGATTGGTTAATAATTATGCATTTGAATATTTTCATATAAATATTTGAAATGTACATGTATCATTATTTCAATGAACGATTTATCATTAGCTATTTTGCTCTAATTAAAAAAACATTTTCATATGCTGAATGTACCTGATAAGAAAATGTTTATTATGATTAGATTATTCACCTAGAAAAAGAAAATAGTATAAAATCATGATTATTATTATAAATATAAATGAAAAGATGGCATAAGAATTGATCCTAAGGTGAGTTTTGTGCACTCTATAAAGATGAAAGTTAGAAATGTTCACAGGCATGGTGGATGAATAGACCAAGATGGAAAATAAATGTTAAAATTGTGAATTATTACAAAAAATGAAAAATTAATGTTACCTTTTCCAGATTCTCTGTAACATTGAATGGGTCAATTATGACATTTGCACAGAGATAAAGGACCTATTTTTTCAATTATTTTATAATCAATAGCAAATCCTTACATGATTCCAATGTAATTAATTTCACAGAGAGGTGAATTATGTTGACCTTACATTCTTGATTAGCAGAACAGTGATAGTGTTTATGCCTAAGAATCAAGGTACATCTTAAATTTTAAAGCTTTCAACTCATGTTACTCTCAGGCAATAATATTGAAGACATAGAGAATTACTGGAAGATTTATGGGTAACTGGAACAAGACAATGTCCTTGAAAAAGTGAAGATTCATTATATAATAGGTGATTCGCTTCAGTCTGGAATTTGTATGACTATGTGATTAATAAGATTATACATTGTAAACTGACAAAAATTGGATAAATATATGGGATGAATTTTGCATAATGTGTTTCTAAGGGCTTTGTAATTTTTAAAAGTGTTTGTACACAAGTGTTATGTTTCTTTAACTATTATAAAATAGTGATCTAACACAGAGATTGGTTTAAATTTCCAACATGTAAAATTCATGGAATGCTTTATTTTAAACCTTTATATTTGGGTACAATACAAAAATATTTGAGTACTAATCTATTAGATATTAGATATATACCTTACTGTTATAATGTATTATTTTGAATATAATATTTGATTTCTAAATTAATATTTAACTAAGATATGAAGAAGGAAAGGAAAGAGAAAAAAGAGGCAGATTAGTAAAAGAGCATGTTAGTGGTAAAAACATATACCAGGAAATGTGATAAATTTATCTAAAAATTAATTCTTAAATAGAGTAAATACTTATATTAGAAAAGAGTTTATATTATGTATTAACATTTTTCAGTTTTTCTGCTTAATAATTAAATATCACTTTCATATACAAGATTTTAAAATTACAAGTAAAAATGCCCAAACTGTCTTCATTTCAAAACAAACAAATGCATTGTGTGGAAAATTTAGTTTTCATTTGATCACTTAAATGCGAAACTTATTTTTACATTTAAGGAAATGGTGGAAACATATTTGTTAATAAACTAACCATTAGTCTAGAATGTTAAAATGCTCTAGTATCAGCCCACAGTACCTATTCAAAAGAGTGAGGATTATTTTTGTTGTATATTTTCCTATAATGAAATCTTTTCAAAGACATCAAGGAAGCACCAAAAAATGTAATTTATAAACCCAGATTTATTCTCATTGAAATTTATGAAACTTAGTAAGGTATAAATGTGATTATTTAAATTCTTATTCATTGACATTTGTTATTATAATAGTAGATAAGGCTTTTTATTTTGGGGTGAATTTTCATAAAGAAAAAAGAATAAAACCACATTTTGAGGTAAATAATCAACATTATATAGATTAGAAAATTTACACTAATCTATATACTGACAGGCATTTTTAATACTGATTTAGAATATGCATAATTAGATTAGAAATTAACCAAATTCCCTAGTAAACATGATTTAGATTGTTCTGGGGAACTATATTTCAATAATAATGGCTTCAGAATAAAAGTAAATTAAACAATTAAGTTGCAATTTTTAAGAAAACAAATTTAAAAATAATAGTATTTAATTTGTTTTCTCCATTCAGTATAAATAGCGGGAAATCTGTATGAGTAGCATATTTAATTGTTCTATCACAGTGTTACGCACATAGCAATCAGTGTTATGAACAATGCACAGTGTTATACACGTAGCAATCTTTTCAAAAATACTCACTGGATAAAATTGATTATTCTTAACTTACAAAAGATCCTTCAAATGTACTATCAAGCTTGCACTTGCACTGCAACACTTTCGCTGTATCCCTTTATCTCCATAGGGGGCACTGCTGATATGAATTCTAATACATTGCTATCGCATGAACCATGGGTGATAATATAGTTTGTGAGGAATTACATGTACATGTTTTGGGTTTGTTTCTTTTTTAACATTGAAAAATGATTAAAATGTACATTCTACTCTTTCCCAAGCTCATTATTATAAAGTTTACATGGTTACCTTACTTGTTTCTCAAAAACACACATTGGCAAGTCAAATAACTCTATTCTAGGCTTATAGATGAAATAATTAAGGCATAGAAATAAACAAATAACTTTCAAATGTCCTTGTTCCTGAAGAGTGTTGGAAATGGGATTCATATTTAAGTTTGTCTGATTTCAACCTATTTTATTTAGTCTGCCACTAAAATAAATTATGTAAATTTAATTTCTAGACATTAGGCATGAAAATAAAAACCATAATAACAATAACAGAAATATTTCATTCAGAACTTAAGGAATTACTCAATTTTAGCCTTAGCAAAATGTTTATAACACACATGACTATGTTTACATGTGATTGGTAAAGTGATTGACATTTAAAGTGTAAAATACTAACCCAAGGACTGTGGGAAATAATATATAGAGATCCACAGGAGCTTGCTAGTTCACAAATACAGAATTAACTAATATCATGATTGAGTAAAACATACCAGAATGCATGCTGTTAGGCTATTAGGGGCTACAAAGCTACAAGTGGTTTTCAACAATAATTATCTGGAAGTAAAGCTACGTTTTTATCCATTATCCTACTTTTGGTCAACAGAAAGCAGTATTCAATTTGCACCAGTAATCACGTTACACTTACTCTCACATTCTGCTTTTCATAACTCTTTACCATACCTCCTATAGTTGCCCCGAGAGTACATGCCCTGTGTGTGATGAGTCTCAGGCTCCGGAAGGTTGGATTAGATAGATGAACTACAGTTTCCCACAGGACACAGAATGGTAGTAGGTCCACAGACAAAACTGTTATTTGTTTGATCTCAAATGCTGTATTTTTAGTTGTTAAGTTATGGACTAGTGTTTGTGCATTGGGGATAGAAAATAATACTGGGCCAAATGGAAATATTCTGTTTCTACCCAGAGGATTTAGTTTCCTGTGCCCAAGTGTGGAATGGGTGCAAGGACATTCCAGTTCCAAAGGACAGCCTGAGCCCAGCAGTTCCTTCCTCCCTCCCTTTCTCCCTCCATCCATCCTTCTCACCTTTCCTTCCTTCCTTATTTTATTCCTGAACTAAATGAGCATTCCTGTAACTTAATTGTTTAAGGTTTTTTTTTTAACACATCAGCAAAATCAGTTTACTATTATTTTATTCAGGCTAAAATGGATAGTTTTTTTCCTTTTACTGTTGTACTATGATAAATTTCTCTAAATTTTATGTGCTTTTTTACTAGTCTTATTCCTGAATGTATTATTGTGTTGTTATAATTTTATTTTTGAATTATTCTCAGAGAATGACAAGACACATTAGCAATGAGCAGGGCAGGGGGAGACAGAGAGAGAAAAAAACTTTTAATTTTTCATCATGTATCCTTAATCTCTAGCTTTGACATGTAAAATGAACCAAACATTTGCCTTTGCCTCATATCTCAGAATTAATTCACTTACCAAAAAATGGGAAGATTGAGTTTAAGGCATATTTTAAAGTACAGAATAAATTTTGACATCTATCAGAGTTGTATGGGAATTCTGTCATAAATTCTAATTTAAATTGTTCTTTATTTTTCCCTAAGTGTGTTGTGGCTTAATATCACACACTTCATATATTCTCCTATAAGAAGAAAATGATCCTTTGTGTAAATAAATTTACTTTCTATTATAATCTTCGAATTTATTTAGATTTAAAATGGACTTTTTAAAGATTACATTTTTTATCAACTGCTGTGCTTTTCTTAGATTAATAATGAAACTAATTGTTCATTTCTTAGGCTCTGACAGCATACAATGAATTCTGACAACTTTCTCCCACTCCAGTTCCTGGATAACATGTAATTTCCTTGATATGACAGAATATCACTTTGGCATTCATGTCATGCCTTGGTGTTCATTTTTCATTTTTCTGTAAGTTAATGAGTTCTAGCAAAGAGTGCCATCATAAAGTTGTCTTTTGCCAGAAGTCCTGCTACAGCATATGGAACTAGTGACAAGTTACAGTATTAAGGAGATTTGTTTCAAACCAAGCTTCTAAAGTGTGCATGGAAATACTAAATACATCCCTGTGTGTTTTGCAGATAATCCTGGTTTGCTGAGCCATGTCACAGTGGGTATTAGAGTTCTGGATGTCAATGACAATCCACCTGAACTTGCCAGGGAATATGATATTGTTGTCTGTGAAAATTCTAAGCCTGGCCAGGTAAGTTAATTGTTTCCTTTCTATCATTTGAATGGAAGAAAAACAAGTAGCTTTATTTATATTATTCTTAGGTATAATTCCTCAAATCCCCCAGTGTAATTTTTGTGCTCAATAAAAATGATTTTATAGTACCAAATGAATTTTTTGAGAATCACAGAAAATAAACTTTCTCTGGATTCCAAATGTAACTTAGAAAAATGAACTCATTCATGAATAATGTGTTCATCCTGCCAATAAAGTTATACTGAATGCTTTATGTATAGCCCTGCATTAAGTGAAGAGGAAATAGTGAGTGTTCCTGTCCTAATGAAGCTTACAGACTAGACTGAGGAGGAGGGACTTCCTTGGCCTGATTTGGGGGATTGAGGGAGTGACACATGAATGGTAATTGAGTGATGCTGGTACTAAAAAGCGAGACCCTGTCTCTACAAAAAATAGGAAAATTAGCTGGGCTTAGTGGCACATGCCTGTGGTCCCACCTATTCAGGGGACTGAGGCAGGAGAATCGCTTGAGCCCAGGAGTTTGAGGTTGCAGTGAGCTGTGATGATGCCGCTGCACTCTAGCCCAGGCAACAGAATGATACTATATCTCAAAACAAAGACAAAAACAAAAAACGACAAAAAAGCACCCCCCCAAAAAACTCAGCAGTAAGAAAATAAAAAAATACAATTTGAAAATAGACAAAGACATAGACACTTAGTGAAAAGGATATATAAATAGCAATCATATGACAAAATATTCAAAATTATTAGTGATTAAGTAAATAGAAATTAAAGCTATAATAAGAAATCACTACCTGCCTATCATAAGAGCTAAACTTCACTAAATGCTGGTAAGATGCTGAGAAATTAGATTATTTCTATATTGTTGGTGAAAGTGTAAAATAGAACTGCTATTCTAGAATATACTTTGGCAATTTCACAATAAACTAACCATGCAACTACCATATTATCCAGCAACTGCACTGGAACATTTCAACCAGAGATAGAAGTCCTGTGTTCACAAAACGAACTGTACAAAAATATTTGTAGCAATTTTATTCATAATAGACCTACGCTGGAACCAACTCTGAAGTCCTACAATAGATGAATAGTTAAGCAAACTGTAGTAAATTTATAAAATGGAATATCCTTCAGTAATAAACAGAAACAAACAGCTGATGCATACAACAACCTGGATGAATCTCCGAAGATTTTTTCTGAGTGAATAAAGGAGCCAATCCCCAGGGTTTGCATAATGTATGATTCCATTGAAATAGCATTTTTACCATAGTAAAATTATAGAGATGGAGAACAGATGAGTAGGTGCCAGAGGTTAAAAAGGTGAGTGGTAAGGGTGGCGGGGAAATGGGTGTGGCCATAAAATGGCAGTATGAAGTGGCTTTACCATGATGGAAAAGTGTTGTATCTTGTCCTTACCAATGTCAATACCCTGGTTTCCAGGGTGTTTTGCGAGATACTAACTGTGGGGGAAACTATGTAAAAGGTACATGAGACTGCTCTGTATTATTTCTCACAGCTCCTGTGAATCTCCAATTACCTAAAAAGACATTTTAATTAAAATGAAAACAAATGTGGTGCTTGTCTTTCCATTCTTGGGATACCTCACTTAGTAGAATGCGTTCCAGCTCTATCCAAGAGTATACAAGAGGTGCTATATTATCATTGTTTCTTAAAGCTGAATAGTACTCCATGGTATACATATACCACATTTTATTAATCCACTCATGTATTGAAGTGAGGTATTCCAAGAATGGAAAGACAAGCACCACATGTACTCACCATCAAACTGGTATTAACCGATCAACACATAAGTGCACATATAAGAATAACATCTATTGGATGTTGGGCAGGGGGGAGGGGGAGGAGGGAGGAGGGGACGGGTATTTGAATACACAAAGAGTGCAATGCACGCCACCCGAAGGATGGACATATTTGAAACTCGGACTTAGGGGGGAGGGAGGGGGCAAGGGCAACATACGTAACCTAAACATCTGTACCCCCATAATATGCTGAAATTAAAAAAAAATGAAAACAAATGGAAAATATAAAGAGCAAATATAAAATATGTCAATTTAAAGTGTTCATTAGTATTTAAGTTAAAATAAAACCACTCAAATACTCAAATTAAAAGATGCCTATTATCGGACTAGATTTAAAAAGTCAATTAAAAGTTGCTTAAAAGAGATGCATTATCAATATAAAAAGAAAACAATTTGAAATAAAAAATACAGAAAAGTATTCAAACAATTACTAATGGAAGTTATATACATACCTCTAAAGAATAACATATACACACATAAACTTTATTAAGAGAAACATTAATATTAATAGATGTAAAGAGACAAATTTCATGCTGATAAAAATAGCCGGTATACCAAGTAGAAACAACTATTTTAAATTTAGATATGTTTATCAACATTACCTCTAAATTAACAAAGCAAAAGCTGATAGAAATATAAAGGGAAATAGACAAATGTTATTAAATTGGAAATTTTTGCACACTTTTTCCAGTAACTGATAGAATATTCACATAAAATTTCAGAAATAATATTGAAAATGGACTATCACAACTATCAGACTGTACTGATTGACAATTATACCAACTTGAGATTATGCATTACAAAATTTGTACAAAATATTAACCAAAAATTTACTATCTGCTGGATCAAATAGCAAGTTTTATTAATAGTACTTTGCAAAGGATAAACCTTATTTTTTTCTTTATTACAATAAATATAGCTAGATAGCAATTCAAAACCATTGCTAGAAAAAGTTCTATTGGAAATGAAGAAATGCACTTCTAAATAACCTAATAGTCCAGGAAGAAATACAAAGTTAAATGAAAAGAAAATATAGTTACATGGAAAGACAATGAAAATGTATCATATCAAAGCTTCTAAGAAACAGTTAAACCGTGACTAGTTGGAAATTTATAATTTTAAATGCGTATAATGATGAAGATCATTAATTTTAATGCAAATTAAAATTGCAAGCATTCATTTACAAGAAATTAGAACAACAGCAGCATTTAAATGAAATAGAAGGAAAGTATTACATACTTATGAGCAGAGATCAATGAAATGGAAATGAATCAAAAGAAATATTAAGAAGTCAATCATTAGTAATTTGAAAAGATAGAGAAGCCCCTGTTAAGACTGATATAAAAAAGAGAGAGATAAGAGAACAAATAAAAAACAACATTAGGAAAAATAAAGGGGAGGTAACTACTGCCCTTACCGATTCCAGAAATCAATTATTAGGAGCTAAACGATGCACACACATGGGCGCAAAGAGTTGTAGAGGACATTAGAAACCAAGAAGAGGGGAGGATGGGAACGGGTGAGGGGTTTCGGGTACAGTAAACACTTTTCTGGTGATAGGCACGCTAATAGCCTCCTCTTAAATATTATACTAGATATCCATGTAAAAAAACATTTGTACCCCCTTAGTATTTTGAAATTAAAAAATCAATAGTATGTTACAATAAATCATCTTACATAAAAATTTGAAAATTTAGATACAACACATACATTTTTAGAAAAGAAAAATTTGTCAAAGCTGGCACAAGAATAATGAAAGACTAATCAAACCTCTATTTAGTAAATACATGAAATATAGAAATAAAAAGATTTCCACAAGTAAATCCTGTTCTCATGGCATTAATGGTGAATTCTAGTAAAAATTTAGGGAAAATTGTTACAGTAATTAAACAAAATATTTAAGAGTTCAGAAAAAGGGGGAAATCATTTTTTAAAGTGTTTTGCAATGACAACATAACCTTATTATCAAAAGTTGACAAAGATAATTGAATCAGAGCTACTCTCTCTCATGACCATAGCTATAAATATAATAAATAAAATATCTGCAAAAAAAAAAAAATAAAGCCAAAAAAGAACAATACATTAAAATGGGAAGAAGAAAAATCAAAATCGACCTCAACAGGTGAATTCAAAGCATTTGACTAAGTTCAACACACATTGACAACTACACCAACAGTCACAATGCTACTATACACTGGTGGAAATTTTGGATGAGATTAACACATTTGCTACATATCAAGTCAGTATAAGCATGCTACTTATATTTCTTCATACCACAAACAATGAGAAAATTAAGTTTAAACACTATGCCACTTAACATCACATTAAAAAATAAAACCCTAAGAATAAATATTACCCTTGCTAAGATTCAATTACTACCTCTCTAGATAGCAACTCTTAAAACTTAGCTCTTTTCCTTCAATGAAGCTTTATTTCTATGATTAGTAGGTCACTCAGAAATTTAAAAATTGGTAAATTGAAAATATCATTTGAAATAGTATATAAAGAACCAACCATAAGCTAATATTTACATCAAACATTGCTTTCTGATTAGCTATAATTTTTAAATATTTATTTAAAAAAGCAAGTAAATTGTATTTTTAAAATCTCAAGCTCAGTGCAAAGCTTCAAGGGTAAAGAATGTTCTTGTACTATGACACAACACTTACTAGTCCATAGCCACCTGTGTAGGCTGCTGAAAATCTGGGCACATTACACCTAGCACTTGCTCTTAGCTCAGTTGATACTTTTTTCTGCGTATGTGAACATCTGCTCCTAAATTCAAATGGCCGGTGTCAGTGTTCTGGCCTGTGGCTTGACGTTTTTTGTTGACCTCTCATATTGTCTACTTCTTGCTCATGAGATAAATTCATTTTATTCTCCCTAAGACTTGCTCCCCTCTAAATGTGGCGTTACTAACCTAGGCCCTCTGTTATACCCTCTGCATTGACTGCAAAAGCCCTGTAGCATTTCTACAAATGATTTTATGTGACATTAACAAGTGCTTTCTTCATCTCTGTAAAACAAATTGTCAGAATTTCAGGGACCTCCTAACGCTGAGATTCTATGAATACATGCCTGATAAATTTCAGATTCCTTTATGACTTGCTTTATTTTCTGCATGAAAAACTATTATACGCTTTGGAGATGGCTATATCTCTGACAACTTGTTTTTTTTTTTTTTTTCCTTGTATGGGTCTCATTAACCATTTATTTACATAGTAGTTTTCTTTTTTTATATTTTTGTTTTTGATTTTTAAAAAGTAATTGCTATCCTTAGCACCCTTAAATTCTAAGATATTTTGATTAAGTTTTATAAGTTGATTAAGTTATGTGATTACTTCATTTGGTTCCTTAAAAACTATATTTAGCCATCATTCTTGTCTTTAATTATAAAACAATTGAACTCTGTATGTTGTTGTTTAGCATATGTTTCCAAATCTCTCACCAAAATGAATTTAAACTTTAATTGAGGGGAGAAAAATCATTTTTGAGTATTGCTTGTGTCAGGCATATTTAAACAAATCATTACCATTACAGGTGGTCTACTTGTGTGACTAACCAATTAGAGTAAAATGGCCTGGTTCTTTTCATTGCTTATTTAACTTCGCAGTCTTTGACTCTTTTAACCTTACATTCAAACCATTTGTGGAAGAACTTCATGTGTTTTGATGCAGAATTTTAATAGGAAACTCAATTTAAAGAATAATTGGTGAAATAAGTTTTCTGCAATTTTATTTGTCATTGCCCAGCTATATGACAGTTCTTCTTTCAATGGCAATTGCTTTTAGAATTACAGATATTTCTATTATGGATGCTGTGCACCTAAATATATCAGTGTGTTGCTATGGCAAAGAGATTGGTCTCATATGAAAGTTCAAACCACTTATAACAGCCGGAGTTCAGGTAAATTCAGCTATCAATGTGAACTACAACAATACAGTCATCTGAGTTAAAATATTTTCCTGTTTTGAAAAAAATAATCTTCCAGGTATCTTGACTGAAAAAATATTAAAAAGAAAGTCATGCATGCATGAAATTTCAAGTCAGTTCCCAAAGCAGAGTGAATTCAAAAGATTTTAGATGTTCCTAACTTAGAAACCTTGAAAAATAAAGGGATTGCATTGTATTTTATTCATATTGAATTTCCTCTGGGTTCCTTTTATTTTTCATTAGAAGTAAACTTAGAAAGCATAACACAAAAAAGAAATCATTTTGTTACATACCACTAGCCTTTGTCCCAATCACATGCAATTATTAACTATATAACTTTGAGTGAAAAAAGTTAACTAGATCAACAGAGATTTTTTTTACTGTGTCAAACATCAAGCTCATTTAACTAAAAAAAGTTGACATTATTATCAAATAAAGGTGTGCAGGTTGTATTGAGGAATATATTATGAAACAGACTCATTGATTAAATAAGACACTATATCTTTCTTAGAACTTCCTTTTCAATTAAAATGCTTAAGGCAAGTTCATTTACCAAATCTAATGTTATGATATTTTAATAAATTTGTGGCACTAACTTTTTTTCCTAATAAAGTACTCAAGCAATAATAGTTTATAGAAAATAAAATTTAAAAAGTAGCTACATTTATTTGTGGATATCATCAAAAATTTTTCCTGGTAATATTTATAAACACTATTAATTTGGTTTCTCCCCCCTTGCTTTTGAAAGGTAAACTAATTTGTGGCTTTATTTCTGCCATATGTATCAAAATAAATAATCATTTTACGTACTAATTATATCATGGATATATAATAGAGAACATTTCGGTTCAGTTGGAAGGAATGAGAATCAAAAAGAAATTGTCAGGGATTTTACATCGCCAACCAATTACACAAACAGAAAGCAAAGGCAACATGGTGTATATAAATCACAACTCTGACAAAGGAGTAGAAAATATTGATAATGGAAACCTGGCAATTATCTAGATATTTGCCAGAAGTTTACATCTTCTAAAAACCAAAAACCTGTTAACCTCTTAGGCATGTTTGTAATGAAAGTCTTAGGTGACAATGGATATAAATCCTATTTCCTTATGAAAGGAACAGGGAGATTAGTAACACAGAAAATTTGAATAAGCCATCTCAGATCAAGAGAATATTCCAGAATTCTGGACAAAAGGAGACCAATATCCCAAGGTTTAGAAACATTTTTCATAAATACTATGGATGAAAATTTAAGCATAGATGCATGATTAAAAATTCTACAATAGTGTTCTAGATGAATGGGACACTGTTAAACAAAATGTGACAATCAAATCATCATTTCCTACATAGATGAGACTGAGAGTTTCTCTCTAAGAAAAACAAATTTGTCAGAAGTGAGCTGCTTGTTAAATTCAGATTTGAAATTACCTACATAAAAATGGAAATGAAACTTTAGTAAAGATTATAGAAACACAGAAAACAATAGAATATAAATGTCAGAGTTTAAAAAAAGTATAATAAGTCTCATGTTTATAAAAATATTAAGAAAACATTAATTTATAAATTAACTTTGAAATAATAGAAAGGGAAATAACAATCCCACAGAAGTGATAACAAGAAACATTAAATAGCTCAGTTGATTTAAGTGAATCGTTCTCCATCAATGCCTGCAAATTATATTCCAGGATAAGAAATAAGAAGTAAAATTGCAGATGTGTTAGTATGTTATGACATATTATAGAGAAAATGGAGAATCACAGTGAATAAAGAGCAAGGTAGGTGGTAACTTAGGGTATGTGTGGGTGTGTGGCTGGGGATAGGGGAGTATGTTGTGCCTGCTTAAAAGCTCATATTTATTTAACCTTGAAGACAAACGTGAAAATTTGACATAGTTGTCATCTCAGTTTTATATTAACCGACATATAGAGAAGGTGGGTATGTTCCTCAGGTGATGTAACGCCTTGAACTCTATTTGAAACTTTCCGTGCACTTGAAAAAAATGGTCGCATTGCTTCTGATTATCCATCAATGCATTCTCCTACTCAGAGTCAAAAGCCAAAACAAAGGAGAAATGATCTATTCAGAGACTAGTGGTGCTTTAAATGAAAGAAGAAAACGATCAATAAGCAAATAGGAAATTTTCAGCTCATAAATAAATATGGAGGTAAATAGAGAAGTGTAGAGATTTCTTTGGCAGTGAGGGGTGAGGAGCACATAAGATCTCTTGCTGAGTGAGTACTTTTGAGCAGTGATGGAAAGGTTGGAAGGAGTGAGCTGGGTGAACATTTGGACGAAGCTGATCACTTCCACACCCTGAAGCACAGCATTCTTCACTTGCACCCGATGAGAATACTTGCTTTCCTGGTTTTATTCCCACCGACCACTCTTTCTTCCTGACAAAATAATGGGCTCAGGACATGGAGAGGAATGCAGGTTTTAACTATGATATTCCTTAATGTGTTATTTCCCTTGTAAAATACTGAAATTGGCTGATATCGGGTAAAACGTTCTAAGAAATTGTATCAACTTTTAAAATGGACACATTGTATTTCACAAACAATAAATACTATTTTTACAGCTCATCTTTCCCTCTTTGCTTCTGATTTTTCCAAGAAAGGGCTAGAAAGAAAACACTTAAACATTAGGATCATTTTTTAAAAAAATATTTGCTTGTTTAATTTTTTTTTAAGGAATATTGTGGCCACAACTATTAAAATTTGTGTTCTGCTCTTGGGCCACCTGGAATATTTTATTTATATATTCTAACTTACTATGCTACTTAACGTGTATTAATTTCAGATTTTAGAATTGCTTTCTCTTGACCACTAGAGGTGGGACATTATCAATAAATGAATGAAGGGTCTGATTTTGCCTCTGCCACTATTTTAGAGATTTGTGGCACATCACAGTCCTTACAAGACCCAGGTTCATCATCTGTAAAATACATGAGCTGGATCATGGTCTCAAAGGCCTCCTGCAAGAGTAAAAAATGTAAGACTACACTGCTCTTGCATTTACTGACTGAGAACAACATACACTACAAGACTGCTCTGCATCAACACTGGGATATTTATATTTGCACAAACAATATTTTATGTCTTTTCTAACAAGTGTCCGTACAAAATCTTACAACTAAATGACTCCACAATGTTACGAGTAATAAAGATAAATTTAATGTTTTGCCATGTTAGAAAATAAAGTGTGAAAGCTTATACATTGTGCCTTGATCTTCCTAAGATCTAATGCAAGGGAGAGCAAGTTAATTGGTAATTTTATGAGTTGAATTTGGAAAGACTCAAGTTGGATAAAGGAATATTTTAAAAATTATTTTGTTTTAACAATTGAAAATAATACAGTATAATTAAAATCAAAGGAATAAGCAAAATTAAATTTATTTTTAAGTATTTGTCTTTTCTTTAGGTTATTCACACCATCAGCGCCGTTGATAAAGATGATTTTGCCAATGGACCAAGGTTTAACTTCTTTCTCGATGAACACCTGCCAATGAACCCAAACTTCACTCTTAAGGACAATGAAGGTGAACATAAATACATATATTTTTTGATCTATGTAGTTTCTGCTTTAACTTGATGTGGAATAGGCTTGATCAGTTTTTCAGTATTCTTATATACCCGTGAACAGCTTGCAAATCAGCATTTAATGTCAGTTTGATGTTAATGTGTTATGATTTGTGAATAGCTTATATTTAAAATTGAGCCATATGTACAAATAACTTTCATTGAATTTATTTAGAAGCATCCCTATAAATAAGAAATGTACATGTAATGTGCTCTTGGACAAATTTTAAAAGAAATCTTAGCTGACAAACTTGTTTATGAGAGTGCTGTAATTGCTAGGAGGGAAAAAATATTTAAATTAGAAAAAATGAAAAATATGTCCTAGAGACAGTCACAAAAGGAAATGCTATGCTTGAAATCACCTTGTATTAGCAAAGCTATCAATATATGCTGTACAAATTATATTTCCTCTTGTTAGTGGGAATATTTCCCAAAATATACATAGAAAGATATGCATAATTATGTACAATATTGTGGAATGTGGAAGTTTTTGGATCATTTTATTTAATCTCTCGTATTGGGGGTAGGGGGCTGGGAAGAATCCCATAATTTAGTAACTGTGGAAGATTCATCATTATTTAGATGCCCGATCTGGTAGATTCCTCAAGATTGTGTACAAGTCGTTCTTGATACTTTAGGGAAATAGTATTTCATTCAGTATGTGAAATTTTCTGATTAGTATCAACTTTCTCCTTCCGCAAACTATCTTTGATCGTGTTTATCTGAATATGCTGTAATTTAGGATTTAATGCTAGCCTCAGAATCACATGAAGGAAACAATGACACACACATTTTGAAGTAAACATTTAATTTCCTCTTTGTACATTTCTAAAAGGAGAATTTTCAAAAGTAAGTCACTAAATGACAACCTGCTAAAAGCATTTTTCCCATTATCCCTAATGGTCTATAAATGTAACCAGGATACCATAGTGTGCATGCAGCCATAAAAAGGTTCACATGAACATACAAAGCTTAATTGCCTCTCCCATTTGAAGTAACCCTATGTGAGCTTTACTTATGAGAATATATATTGTTTGTACATGGCAAATTGTATTTGACTATTTCACATTTACTTACATTTGAATATTATATCTCATAATCCAACTATACTGAGAATACTTAAACATGTGAACTGTGTTAAAAAATCAATTTATATTTTCTCATATTTCAAAAATTTCATAATTTGGGGGAACTTGCTTCCTTAGTAAACTGAAATCATATCTGGATACACATGCTTATATTTCATTTGGAATTTTTCTATTCCAATACAAACTTTATGTTTTTAAAATAAATTTAATATGATAATATTATGATAAAATTTGATATAGGTTTAAATATGTGCTAAATTTAAGCATTTAACCTACATAGGCATAACTCTAAAAGTACTTTAGAAAACAGGAGAATGTTATTTTCATTGGAACCCACGTCCATAACCAAAAGTTCTTCAAACAGGATTATTATGTCTGGAATTTGTGAATTTAACTAATAGTTGTATTTGAAATGTCTTAATTCAGTGATATGACAACATTACCAGTGCTGGAAGGTATTCTTCTCAAAATATATACAAACTTTTGAAAGGGTTTGTGTGTACATTTGGAAACGTTAATTTTAACCATGGAAATGAATACTTACCATCTCAAATTTGAGAAGCCTGTGAACAGTTTTATAGTGGTAGAGATGTTTAAATATATTTGTATGAATATTTTTTATAATTTTTGAGAACTGATGAAATTATAAATAATGCAGAAATAATTTCTCTTGGCTAGAAAGAACAGCAATTATTTGGAAAGGGGCTATCAGTGTATAGCTGAAAACATGGACCTGAGTAAGCAGACTTGTTTTTGCTACATAAGATCAGCCCCTTAACCTCCCAAGCCTCAGTTTTCACATCCATCAATCATGATTAGAAATACCAACTTTTCAGCCTTGGGAGAATTAATGTTATTGTATATAAAGGCATTAGAAACATATAGTCTTTTCTCCACAGGTAAGGCAATTATAGATAATAACATATAAAGATGAAATTAAAAATGGAATAGCCATACCAGAATAAATGCATGTGTATATATGTACATACATACATTCATTTATATGTATGCATAAATATTTCTCTAGACAACAATCAGAATAAAACGTAACAGAGTAAGAGTCAGACAATCCTGTCCTACTGGATCCTGGGTGCCTGGGCATTGCATTACATAAGTTAATAGACATTAACATGGCCCCAGAACATAAAGAAAGAAATCTACAAGAACAAATTAAAGCCATTTATTTCCTGTGCCTACTACTTACATGAAACTACATATTCAGAGAAACAATAGAAACCAGACATAGCCTTTAAGCCAGGTTATATGATCAAGAAGCCATTGATTTAGTGTCATCTCCTAAATTGCTCTATGGCAAACAATGAGCACAGAGAAACAGATTTCCACAAAGAGAGATGGACAGAAATGCATGGTGTTGTTGTAGACCAGACCTCCTTCACATTTCTTGATACTTCATTGAAGTAATTCCTACTAGAAACTATTGTAAAAGGACCTATTTAATTATTCTAACTTGTTAATGTGTATGTACTAAGCTCATACCAAAGATGAATACCTTAGTAGTGTTTACACCCAGAATCACATAAGGTAGCTAATTTCCTCATACCAACTAAGAAGATCTTCCTCATCTATGACCAGATTAGATTCTCCTATTTAATACCCAGATCTGCTTGCTAAATGGCTAAATTTAAGACAATGTTCATGTTTTCCTAGATCTTTCCCATTCCCATAAGATCTTTCCTGCCATATGGCCTATCCCTGATTAATTTGGAACCTGCTAATTTATCTGAGCATTACAGCTGTCTTGAATGTTCTATCATGTTTATTTTAAAGAGTTTCTTTATTTTAGTACAAACTCTATGGAAGGTCATATGGAGATACCTCAAGGAGCTAACAGTAGAACTACCATTTGATCCAGGAATCCCATTACTGGGCATCTACCCAAAGGAAAAAAAAAAGACATTTTATAAAAAAAACAAAAAATCTTCACTAGATTGTCTATAGCAGCACAATTTGCAATTGCAAAGATGTGGAAACAACCCAAGTGCCTATCAATCCATGAGTGGATTAATAAAATGTGGTATATGTATACCATGGAGTACAACAAAGTCACAAAAAAACAGTGGTGATCTAGTACCTCTTGTATTATCCTGGATAGAACTGGAGCCCATTCTGTTTTGAACCTAGTTTTATTATTCACTGTGACATAGGCTGGGAATATATTGGCAGAAAGTACCAGCATGGAGTTAATGGCTGGCCTTCTAAAGGAAGCAAGAGTCTTAAGTAGAGCAAATACATCCATTCAAAGAAAACATGGTCCAAATACTCATTGTTCTCATGGATAGCCATTTCATCCTTTTATAGGTATGTAAATCACTGGTGAAATTATTTTTTCTTCTATTTTCTTGAACATATTAGTATTAGTGATCTTATAATTATTGCTAGCCTACTCTAATATCTGGATCAGATGCCAATTTTTGTTTTTTTCTGTGTGGTTGGGGGAAAGGGGGACCAGACTGGGACAGATGGTCTTGTTCCTTGATATGTCTAGTATTTTTTGATTAAATGTCACACATTTGGTGCTGCTATAACAGAAAACCTGAGACTGGGTAATTTATAAAGAAGAAAAATTTATTTCTCACAGTTCTGGATGCTGGGAAGTCTCAGATCATTTGGAGTCTAGTAAGGGCCTGATCTCTACTTCCAAGATGACATCTTGAATGCTGCCTCTTCCAGAGAAAGGAAAACTTTTCCTCATATGGCAGGATATGGGAAGAGAGAAAATCCTTTCCTGAAAGCCCTTTTGATTGCAGCATTAATCTATTCGTGAGAGTGGAGCCCTAATGACCTAAACACCTTCCATTAGGCCCTACCTCCCACAGTATTACTTTAGTGATGAAGTTTCCAACACATGAAATTTGGAGGGGACAAAATTCAAGCCATAGCACTTGAAGAAGCTCAAATGATAATCTGTTTCTCCAGAGAGTATTCACTATTTTCTCTGATAAGCAATTAGAGTGGAGGATTATCACTTAAATCCAATCAGAGTCTAAGCTGAGTCGGGGCTGATTTGCAATTTTGCTTAAATTCAGTTTATTTCTCATTTGTTCCTATTCCTAGAGCATGACCCTTTAGGGCTTTCCACTGAGAGCATGCTTGTGCACTCACCCTGGTCCATTAATCATTGGTCAACGCCAAGATATGGCAAAAAAAGCTCTTCTACGTCTTCCAGGTCTTCTCAGCTTAGGGTTTTAGCTTTCTGTTAAATTTTCAAATTAACTTCCAATTTAAACTTTCAATTTAACAAATGTCTTTAGGGAAAATCAGTCATGTATTTGAGGCCCCTCAATTTCTAATTTGACTGCACGTCCATGAAGCTTCAATAAGGTTTCCTAGTTTCTCTTTGCAGAGCTTGGAATCCCAGCATCTTGTTAGTTTTTCGTACAAGCAAATGCCTATATTTGTGATCAATACTTCACTCCTCCACATTTATTTTCCCTCTCTGGAGTTGAAATTCCTCTAGTTATCTTGGCAGTTTTCTGATATCATTAAACAATATTGTCTTGAAATTTCAAGCTTCTCTCTTTGTTATCAATGGGAGCATTGGTCAGTCAAAAACTACCCATTTTACCCAGACCTACATTTTGTAAAGCAAGAGCCATTTTGGAAGAGTGTCATTAAATAATTGCAACATAAACTGGGCTTCAAAGAAAGGACACTGTTCAATGATAACCTAATTATCATGGAGATGCCGATTGCTTGGATATTCCCTGGTATGCTACAGATGTTTGTTCTTTCAAATTTAAACACAGAGTTGGCACAGTGAAAACAAGGACTTGACCATGATCTCACATGTAATTCATAGAGAAACCAGGTTTCAAATAGAGCCAAGCTGTTTCTAGAGTCTAACTCTGAAA